CCGTACGCACAATTTTTGTTCTTTAGAAGACAACAAAACCTTTTTCTTTTCTTTCGAAAGAAAAGAAATCCACATGTGACTATATGTTGTTTTGTATTTCATTGCGAAAGTAGTCATTTGCCATGCGGGATTTCTCGTTTGCAGTAATAGAACAAATATTTCATCAAAGTATAATTGAGACATTTCTGTGCGAAATTGCTTCAATCCGTTGCAATTAATCGTCATCATTAGCTATTTCAACTTAAAAATAAATGAATTATCATTATTTAATCATCGGTATTAATGTCAAAACGACCAACGGTAATTTATCACATTATTTCTTATTTAAACAACTCTGAAAAAAAAAATTTCTCCCTTTCAGTTTTGCATATTATTGAATTCTGACTAATATCGATATAAAACACATTTTTTTCATAATCAAAAAGAATTTATAAGATGTTTGAGACTATTCGTTTCGTTAAATTTTATGTATTTGTTAATTCATATACATTTAAATCTCTATGAAGGATTCACCTAATCTTGTTCCCATGTTTTTATGGAACTAAAATAAAGTTATAGCTGCAATAAATAAACCAAGTTCTATGTTACAGATGAAAAATGAATTATATTGAATAAATCTCCTAATAAAATTCTTTATAAATATTTCGATGAATTCGTTTCAGATCAGGATTGTTTCTTTTACTGTATAATTCGACAAATTTTTGTGTTCAAGAAATGGCAACATGTGGCGAATTTCATGTATGTTTTAAATGCAATAAACCTCCGGCAAAATACTTATGCACTGGGTGTAAAAAATATTTTTGTCCGAAGGATTTTAGAGAACATGAACAACAGTTAATAACGAAATTCGATAATGAAATAGTAAGATCTCATGATGAACTTCTTGATCAAATTCAAAAATTAGAAAAATCAAATAATTTATCATTGGATCTTTTCGCTCAAATTGAACAATGGAAAAAACTAACAATCCAAAAAATCGAACAAACAGCAGAAAAAGCTCGTCATGAACTCATCGAACTAATCGATAAACAAAGAATTGAAATAAAAAAACAATTTGAAACAATAACAAGAGAAATTCGAACTTGTCGAGATGAAGAAAATTTCGTTGAAACTGATATTGATCGACTTCAAACGAAAATCAATGAAATTCAGGGAACACTTCAACAATTTCTTGGAAAAGAAACAAGTAAGACCATTGTTGTAGATGTCGGTCAAATCGATTGGAATCGAATTCTTTACATCAGAGGTAAGAAAAAACGGAAATATGGCTAAAATTAACATGAGACAAAGAAGAAATAATTTTCGAACGAATCGATCGATTATTTTTCATTTCATTTATTAAATGAAACCCAATGATTTCTATATGTTTGTTGTTTGAACATCACAAAGATTACTTTCATTGAAAAGGAAACACATTCAATAGTTCGAATGCATCACGAAAAATATTCTCTTGAAAGCAGCATACAATATTTATTTGAATAGAATTGATCTTGTGGTAAGAACATGAATCCATTTTAGAATTTTCACGATTCCGAAACTCATTCTTCAATGAGAATCAAAATATATTTATGATTTGAGGTGATGGGATCCAACAGCTTATGTACTCGTTCGAGAAAAGTCCTTAGACCCAAAGCTCAGTAGCCAATTTTTGATTGCTTCAGAATTGAACGAAATTCGTTTTTTTTTCTGTTTTAAAACTAAATCTTAATGTTTTTGGACTAAAATAAACAAGAATTTTTAAAAAATTCGAACATAAATTAAGTTTTTTCAATTCAGAACTGACTAGCCAATGTTTTTAGGTCCGAACTCGATGGAGCCTACTCATGATCATCGATTTCTTTGTATATTGAGTTTTTTTTTCTATTTCTCGTCTGTTGGCAAAAAATTTAGATTTGAAATATGCGAAGAATATTAATTAGACTTATTTAGATTTTGGAATGCATCAAAGTTTTTTTTATTGATCAATAGATGAATTTCTTTCTATGCCATATGTAATGATAAAAAATAGGGCACATGAATTTCGAGTTGAGTCGAAGAGTTCTTGAAGAGAAATTCTGATCTCCGATGAAACACAGTTGTTAAAGAACGATTGAGTAGAACTTATGCATGCAATAGTATTATTCCTTAAAGTTTCTCCTCCCGATAGAACAATGTTCAATAAAGTTAGTGATGCATCATTTCAATTCTCACATAAGTTTTCAATCTGAATTTGATTTTGAATCGACACTTCACAATATTATATTGATTTCTTTTCTTGAAAACTAACTTCAACAACTGAAAATTGCGTCAATTTTATATGGGAGTATTATCTCGAAAGAATGAAAAGTATCACACTGAATTTAAGCAAAATTCAATTGTGAATAATATTCTCTATTGTCATTTATCCGAAATATTATTTTCGAAAACAAAGAGTCAATATCAAATACTTTTGAGCACACCGAGATGATCTTCAATGAAGCCTCCTGATCAAAACTTACGTTTTTTGATAATGTCATTTTCCTTCGCTATACGTCATTTTATTATTCATGGAAAAAAAATCATTTTTGTTTGCTGTAGCATCAATGTCACAGACTCCAAATTTGAATCTAAATACAAAATGGATACAAAATGGTGTCACAGTGGCTGGAGGAAATGGAAAGAACAATGGAATGAATCAACTTTACTATCCATGGGGTTTATGCGTTGATGATGATCAAACTCTCTACATTGCTGACTGCGGAAATCATCGTGTTGTTGAATGGAACAGTGGTGCAATCAGTGGTCGAGTTGTAGCCGGTGGAAATGGGCAAGGAAATCGTTTTGATCAATTGAGCAGTCCAAGAGATGTGATTATTGATATAAAGACAAATAGTATCATCATTTCTGATTATGATAATAAAAGAGTAGTTCGATGGCCACGTCAAAATGGTAAAAGTGGAGAAACAATCATTTCTAATGTTGGATGTTGCGGATTAACAATGGATAACCATGGATTACTTTATGTTGTTGATTTTGATAAGCACGAGGTTAGACAATATCGAATAGGGGAAAATCAAGGAACAGTCGTTGCAGGTGGAAATGGAGAAGGAAATTGTCTTGATCAGTTGAATAATCCGACATACATATTTGTCGATCGAGATCATTCAGTATATGTATCAGATGAAAATAACCATCGTGTGATGAAGTGGACAAAAGGTGCAAAACAAGGTATTGTTGTAGCTGGTGGTCAAAATGAAGGAAGTAGACTAACACAATTATCAAATCCTTATGGAATTTTCGTAGATCACTCAGGTAATGTTTATGTTGCTGATTATTCGAATAATCGAATACTTCGTTGGTGTCAAGGCGTCATACGGGGCACAGTTATCATTGGTGGAAATGGTCAAGGAAATCAATCGAATCAGCTCTATGCTCCTACGGGTTTATCATTTGATCGAGATGGAAATCTTTATGTGTGTGAAAATCGAAATCACCGAGTACAAAAGTTCAACATTACTCGAAGTTAATGTTTCTTTTTGTTTGAAAAAGTGACCTTGTTTCAACATTTTTATCATAAACTTGAACAAACGGTAGAATAATCAATTGAAAACAGATCAATCTATATCTTTAAATAATATAAATTAATCTGCTACTCTCAACTTTTGCTTTTCAGCCATCGATTATGTCGAAATAAAATTTAAAAATATATATTTGATGTTGTGCTTGAATTAAATTTAATAAAAAAAAATAATGCAGTTTTAATTTACGCCGACGCATTTCATATTATTTATTTATTAAAATATTAGAACACTCTTCAGGGCTCTACATTAGAAGAAAGCACGAAAAAAGCACAAATTGAAAAGAAGGGAACAAAAGGAAAATGAAAAAAGCGTTTTAAAATATAGTCCAGATGTATAAATTCAATTTTGTTGGCAATTATTAGAAGGTAAGAACGTGTATATTATTTTTATAGCAGTTGTTTGTTGTTTCTATCCGCTGATAATATTTCCCATTTGTAACGTAGAAGTGATTTTTTAATTGTTGTGAATCGAATTTTAGTTTTAATATGTTAGAGAGCCGGATAGATTTTTGGAAGAAATACATCAATATGGCCTTTTTTAACAATTTGAGACAATAATTGATTATAAGAAGTAAAACCAAATTAAATAAATTTATACAAATATTTGCATTATTAAATTTAATTGTTAAATTTGTCAGTTTGCAGTTAAGGGTGTGGGTGTGGGTGTGAGTGTGGGTATGAGTAAACAATAAACAACCACATACACACACACACCCTCAAGATCTCTGTTACAAGCAATAATAGGTATATGATTATGTTTATTATTTGAATCATCTGGTACAATAGCAGGATTACTATTTGTTAAAAGAAGATCAATAATAACTTGTAATGATCTTTCCCATTGAACGGGTTCACCAAGTAAAACAATAACTTTAAAAAAAGACAAAAATAAAAACATTGATAAGAGGAACAAAATGAGTATTTACCATCAATAGGACGAAAATCTTCATCATGAACAAGGGTGTGGGTGTGGGTGTGTGGGACTGGGTGTGGGTCTGGATGTGGGTGTGAGTGTGGGTGGGTGTGGGTGTGGGTGTGGATGGGTGTGGGTGTGGGTGTGGGTGTGGGTGTGGGTGTGGGTGTGGATGGGTGTGGGTGTGGGTGTGGGTGTGGGTGGGTGTGGGTGGGTGTGGGTGTGGGTGTGGGTGGGTGTGCTTTGCTTTCGGTCACACCCACACCCACACCGACACCCACACCCACGCCTACACCCACGCCCACTCACACCCACTCACACTCACACCCACACCCACGCCTACACCCACACCCACTCACACCCACTCACACTCACACCCACACCCAACTGACTCAGTTCTGCATTCGTAGATTGTTTCATCTACAACATCGTGTAGAGCGTGTACTTTTAACACGAATCACGCCGGTATGTTTCTATCCCTTTATTCTCTCCAGACCAAGAGAAGATTTTCATTACCTTGTTTGATCCTGATTCAGACATTTCGAAAACCGAGTACTCATGCAGCTTTTTATTCAATAAGCTGTTGACTGGTTACGACGTTGGCGAGGAACTGAAAAATACCCATGACATGTCTCCTTCATTGCTCCGTGCATGCCAGATTGTTTAGTGATTTCAGTACAATTCAGTTTTTTTTCGAATAAAAAGCTTCGTGAGTGCATGATATTTCACATGTCTGAATAATTTTCGGATATGGCAGTGAATATCTTTTCTTTTTCTAGAGGGAATGAAGCGATCGAAACAGGCTGAAGGGAATCTCCTCAGTAAGCAGGCACACTCTACACGATGATGTAGGTGAAAAGATATACGAATGCAGTATGGGATCAGTTGCACGAACTTTTTGGACAAGCTGATATCTTTCACCCAA